GTGCTTTCTTAAATGGTTTTATAGAAGAGGAAGTGTATGTTGAGCAACCCCCCGGTTTTATAGATCATGCTTTTCCTAATCATGTTTACCGGGTACAAAAAGCTTTATATGGGTTGAAACAAGCTCCTAGGGCTTGGTATGCTCGCCTCTCTAGTTTTCTTATTGAAAATGGTTTTTCAAAAGGAACAATTGATAACACACTTTTTGTGAGAAAAAGGAAAAATGATTTCATTTTGGTTCAAATATATGTGGATGACATTATTTTTGGTGCTACTAATGAATCCTTGTGCAAGGAATTTTCTAAAGTTATGCAGGATCACTTTGAGATGAGTATGATGGGAGAGCTTACATTCTTTCTCGGGCTCCAAGTCAAGCAAACTAAGGATGGGATCTTCATTTCTCAAAGCAAGTATGCGAAGGAATTAGTGAAGAAATTTAAGTTGGAGAATTCTAAGCATGCGCCTACTCCCATGAGTACTAGTGTTAAGCTTGATGCGGATGAGAGTGGTGAAGATGTGGACCAAAAACTGTACCGAGGTATGATAGGTAGCCTTCTCTATCTCACCGCTAGTAGACCCGACATCATGTTTAGTGTATGTGCATGTGCACGTTTTCAAGCTTCTCCAAAAGCATCTCATTTAATTGCGGTTAAAAGAATCATTAAGTATGTTAATGGAACTTTTAACCTTGGTTTGTTTTATCCAAAAAGCACCACTTTTGATTTATATGGTTTTTGTGATGCCGACTTTGCCGGATGTAAGGTAGATCGCAAGAGTACTAGTGGAACATGCCAATTCTTAGGAAATTCCCTTGTTTCTTGGGCTTCCAAGAAACAAAATTGTGTTGCATTGTCCACTACGGAAGCGGAATACATTGCCGCCGGCCTATGTTGTGCTCAAGTTTTATGGATGAAACAAAGCTTAGTTGACTATGATTTGAACTTTCAAAATATTAAAATCTTTTGTGATAACACAAGTGCTATAAATATTTCCAAAAATTCGGTTTTGCATTCTAGAACTAAGCATATTGACGTACGCCATCATTTCTTACGCGATCATGTAGAGAGACAAGATGTATCCCTAGTATTTGTTGACACCAAATCTCAACTAGCGGATATATTCACTAAGCCTCTTGGAGAGGATGATTTTTGTCGCATAAGAAATTGTTTGGGCTTATGCACTATGTGAACGTTCTACATTGCTTGCTTGACTAGTTGTATTTTGCATTTAGTATTTCTCTTTACCCCATTTTTGATGGTGACAAAGGGGGAGAGAAATCTCCTCATTTGTTGCATATATTCAGGGGGAGCTCATAGATAGGGGGAGCACCTATCTATAAGCTATCTTATTTTTGCTCTTATATAATGGTTGGTTGTCATCATCAAAAAGGGGGAGATTGTTAGCCCTTATGTTTTGATGATGTTCTTACAACCACCATTATCGGTACTAATGGCTTATTGAGTGTAAATGTAGTAAAATCATTTGTCAAGCTCGTTAGTGCCATTAACGGAGGATGGATGGAATATACGCTAAAACGAAGACATCTAAAGGAGGAGGAGGCCAAAAAGATGAAGCAACGTTATTTCAAGAACAACAAAGTCATATAAAAGCTTCATCCGATTCAAGCTATATCAAAGCTCAAGTATTGCTTTCAATATGAGGATATTAGCTATCTTTTATATTTCTCTCTAGTGCTAGAATGTAGGCAAAGAGTTACTGAGTTTACTTGAAGCTATTGGGAATCACACACACGTTTTTAGACTTGTGTCTTTTAAGCGTTTTTTCACAAAACACTATTTTTCACAAGTATGAGTACCTATCTGCAAAATTCTTTTTCCAAACAGTTTGTTTTTAGTATTAAAAACATTTTACAAAGTTTCAGAATTTTCAGAGGTCAAATGAATATTCTAGGTCGGTCGACCGACGGTATTTTCGGTCGACCGATTATTTCTTCGGTCAACCGATTTGGTCAGCCGCGATTTCTTAAACGGTCGTTTCTCGCCTCGACTCTTGTGCTTTCACTTATTAGTGATTGGCACAGTCTGAGGTCACAACCTGCAAAGTAGATTATCTTCCTAAATAGGAAGATTGGGTTTTTGTTTTTATTGATTTAAACTCTTTTATAAAAACCCCCAAGCCTGCTTCTTCTTCCCTAAGCCCTAACGTTTTGAAAGAGAACCAGAGAGCTCTGTTTCTTCCTGAGAAAATTTTCAAATCAAACTTATTCTTCTGAGTTCTTGTGTGTGTTTCACTTCCCAGCTTCAGTACTCTTCTCTTTGCTATAGGGGCTTGTGTAAAGAGAGTGTCTTGCATTTATTTTCTGCTGCTGTGAGTGAGATCTTGTGTAGATCGACTGTGAGGGAGTGTGATCTGTGAGATCAACTGTGCAGTGAGAGAGAGAGATCTTGTGGGATCATTGTGTAGACGAAGTTCCGGCTTCCAAACCGGATGTGTTAGTGGATTTCTCCTCGAGAGTGGGGAGCGGGGACGTAGGTCAGCGGGCCAAACCTCGTTAACACATCGCGCGTCAAGGATAACGATTCCTAACTTTATCTCTTTCTTTATTATTGCACTTCTGTTACTGTGGTTTGTTTGTACTGTTTTTTAAATTGCATATTAGAGCCTCTTGACCCTAATCACCCCCCATCTAGGGTCCTTCAATCACATCTTCAGCTATACCAACCTTAGCAAAGTTCTCCTTTAATTTTTCTTCATACTCTTCTTGTTTCTTCTTGTTCTTCAACCTATAACTATCGGTCTTGATGTGTCTTTGTTCTTGATGTGTCCTTTCTTCTTACAATATCTACAGGTCAGATTCTTGTGCTTTGACTTATATCCGTTACCTCCAAAGCCCCTTTTTTCTAATCGTCCTTCAATAAAAAGCCATCACCTTTATCATTACTTTTTCTTGTAAATAATTCTTTGTCAATTTTCTCCTTATTCAACAAGTTCTTTTTGGCGTGCTTGATGCTAATAGATTCTTAACTGTAAATTATAGTATCTCTAAAGTGCTTGTAGAAAGGCGGGAAAGAACATCAATCTTACTCAAATCTGTAATCATATAATTAAATTTACCAATATGAGATTTGATAGGTGTACCTTCTGACATCCAAAGTGTGTACAAATGTTGTTTCAAGAGGATGTGATTAGTGAGCGACTTGGTCAAATACAAATCCTCCTACTTAGAACATAAATCTGCGGTTGTCCTCTACAAGAACTTTTTACAAGACTTTGTTTGTCAAACATAACTAGATCACTGTGAGAGCTTTATCATCCAATCTTCCTTTGTCATTTTAGCCGGTTACTTCGACTTCCCGAACAAAGACTTCTTCAATCCATTCTGTGTCATCATGTCGATCATCCTAACTTACCAAAGGCTAAAACTGATATTGCCATCAAACTTCTTAATATCCCACTTCGTAGTGGTTGTCGTCATCTTCTCATCCGATCGATAGTGGAGGGCTTTAATACCAATTTGTTGATCAAGATTATTTTTAAATTAATTAGATGTCCATGTCCTTTTGCAATTAACACTTGGATAAACCAATTTGTCACCAACTCAAAATAGCATTCTCTCAGCTAAAGCATGACCAAGCCGAGATGTCGACTTCGGTCATATGTATTTGAGGCATTGATAACAATATGTTTGTTACATGTGAAAAGCTACGATTGGAATGCTTGATCATCAAAATTAGTCTTAAATTCATTAATTTAAAGATTGAAACAACCGAATCTCTATGATCAAGATATATTCGGATATTTCAGATATGGATCAGATATTTCACTATAAAATCATATCCGTGAACATATCTATCAGTTATAGATTTGAATAGCCATATATGTATCCTTATGGATATGGTTAAGATACGGATGTGGATATGGTTTATCACCCCTGGTCCATCTCCTTCCTAAATGTCGGTTTACGTCCTCTAGTTAACTAATGTAGCCTATCACTTTCTTTTTCAAATAACTCCAGTACCTTATCTGTTTATCTCCTAGCTGTAGCTTGCTTAAATTGATTCCGCCAAAGTGAGAGCTTGTGAATTCATACCATAATTGATAAATGTGAAACAGGAGGATTTGGGAGGAACTTTATACTTATTCCAAGTAGTAAGTGGAAGAAAGAAAGCACAGACAGAGACCCTTATTCAGAATCAGTACTATGATGGACGACATAAAGAGCTTCAGCTTCATAGTAGGACTTGTGATTGAAAATTATTTGTAAGTCATCTGCTGCAGCAAAACTAAGGTTTTTTTCCCCAACTACAGTAGCAACAGCATTTATTACCTTAAATGAAAAACAACCTCTAATTGTTGTAGTTACATGTAATTGCATTGCTAGCCCTCCAATTGGCGTGATCCAACAACCTTTAGTTAATGAAAGTTAAGTGACTACAATTAAATTGGCTAAAGAGAAAAAAAGTGCAAAATTCACATATAACATACTATCCATATCTTATATCATAATTAGTAGATTATATTTTTGTGCATGCGATACGTGCATGACATGATATACACTTGTGCATAATACAAAAAATTTCTTGATGTGTTAATTATTAGCATACATAAGTGTATAAAAAAGAGTTGAAAATAGAAAATATAATTGTACAAGGGTATGTGAATTGAAAAGGTAGGGGGGCAGCTACGGAAAAGTGGATGGTTTGCTAGTTATGGGATAGTGGGTGTAGCTATGAGTGAGATTGATGTATGTTTTTTTTTTCTAATATTATCCCTCTGCTAAGTTGTAAATTATTTTTTTCAACAGAATATTATAAGTTGTAAATTATTGAAAGTTGTGGGTATAAATTTCAGGATATGTTTGACATTTTTTTAAATGATGACTAACACAGATGTAGATCTGAAAAAATAGCTTTTCCTAAATACTAGTAATAGATTAGCTAACTCAGCTTACTTGAAGTTTACGACTCAATGCAAGACATTATATTAAAACTTTGTTAATTAACTACGACTCAATGGTTCCTAGTCAAAAGTTAAGCTTAATTTATTTCATTGGTGTGAGACACCTACGCTTGGATATTATTCTAAGCTACTACAGATGACCATCAGGGTCATTTTATATTCTGGATGCAGAAGCCACTATAAATCAAGTCATTACCAATCTCAAGTCTTCATAACTATATTACTTGCTTTAGAAATCAAGAAACATGGTGATTATCTACCTTATATAGTGTAATATATAGGAGTTATAGTGATCCTAATTATAATTCCCTTTCTTTTGTTATTTGCAGGGCAACGGGGGGAGTAAGAACGGAGGAGGAGGAGGAGGCAAAGGAGGTGGTGGAGGTGGAGGCGGAGGCAAAGGAGGAGGAGGAGGTGGTGGCCGAAGGGTCACAAGAGAAGGCAGGGGCGGAGCATCTCCTGTTACTGATGGTTCCGTCTCAGTGGTGAATACGGGCGAATAATATGATATGGAGGCTTTTAGTTAAAAGTGATAGCGTGTGCTTTGCTTTTAGCAATATGGGATACAAATAAGAGAGAGGATCATAGTTTGTTGCTAGATCTTTTCTAAGGTGTGGTGTTCTTCTTTCACAAGTTTTATTTGGATGTTGTACGTGATGGTATTAAATATATGTTTGATTGTTTGTGTCGTTCTTTATACTCTATATGTTTCTGTTGGGTTGTAATAGAAATTAATTAGGTTGATGGAAAAGTTACAAGGTGCTAGAATATTAGTGCTACCTTTTTTTAATAAAGAAAATGCCAGCTAAACGAACCTGCCTTTTTTTTTGTGACAAAGAATCCGATTCGTGTAAAGATAACCACCGGCCAACACTTTTATTGCCCATTTCTCCTTTTCATTGTCATCTGAGGATCGTACGTAGTTGAAAGAGACAGGGAGTAGTCGGGCTGCTTAGTTCACATAAAACAGACTTACAATGATAATTCTTGCAACCCAATTTCTATTTAAGTGTTTGGCTCGCTGTTAGGATACGTGGAGCCTAACTATTCGACTTGTTCTATACCTTATTTTTGAAGAGGAAACATGAGAAATTGGAGGAACAGGAACGACGACGATGAAGGTCAGACAAAACGACGAAGGAATCAGCTTGGAGGCTTCACGGTCGACCGCGAGTGGCGCTGCGGTCGACCGCGAACGTGCGCAGGTCCACGAAAAGTCTCTGAACTTTTTACGGTCGACCACGACATCACGTGCGGTCGACTGTGCCAAACTTTGTAATCAGATTTGGTCTCGGGATTTTTAGCGGTCGACCGCGACTGTATCTGCGGTCGACCACGAGTCGGGTTTTTTGGGCCTGAATTCGTTTTTTCTGAACTATTTTAGAATCATGTTTGTATTAACCCTTGTATAATTTAAAGGGATATTAGGGCAATTTGTAAGATTGATAAGAATAGTGGAATTTTCTTCTACGGCGGCCGTGGACGTAGCTTCTCACATCGAGAAGTGAACCACGTAAATCTTGTGTGTTTTTGTGTGATTGTTTTCTCTCTCTTCTCTCTCATCTCTATTTCCAAATCGCATCAGGGGGTTAGTTAATTCCATATCAAGTGGTATCAGAGCGATCAGGTTCGGCGCAGGCGATTTGAGGTCAGAGACATGGGATCTGAGAAGGAGACGTTAAAGATTGAGAAGTTCGATGGGACAAACGTCGGTTCTGGAAGATGCAGATAGAAGACTACCTTTATTAGAAGGATCTATATTTGTCATTGGGAGAGAAGCCGACGGATATGAAGGATGAAGAGTGGAAGCTTTTAGATCGAAAGGCCCTTGGAGCAATCAGGTTGACCCTATCTAAAGCTGTAGCTATCAACATCAAAAATCGAAATTCGACGGTGGATCTCATGGCTGCAGTATCTAGTATGTATGAACAATACTCTGCGGCAAATAAGGTACATCTCATAAAGAAATTGTTTAATTTTAGGATGTCTGAGAGCCAAAAATTCAAGGAACACTTGAACGAGTTTAATGAGATTACGGATCAACTAAACTCGGTCAATATTAAATTTGATGATGAAATTCAAGCTCTATTAATACTTGGTCAGTTGCCTGATAGTTAGAAGGGCACCGTAATTTCGATTAGCGAGTCATGTAGAAAATCAAACCTGAAGTTTTTAGAAGTTGTAGACATGATTATGACCGAGGAGATAAGAGGACAAGAAGAAGGAGTTTCTAATTCAAGGTCGGCATTGAATTTTGAGAGTAGAGGCAGAAATAGAAACAAAAATAGAGGGAATAGCCGTGGTAGACCTAATTCGAGGAACGACACATCAAGATCCAAAAATCACAAAAGTAAGAAAGAGATTGATTGCTGGAATTATGCCAAGTTTGGGCACTGTGAGAATCAGTATAGGGAACCCAAGAAAGACAAGGAGAACAAGACTGAAGCGAACGTCGTCTTAGGAGAATCAGATGATACCCTTATTTGCTCGTTGGAGAGCAAGACAGAATCATAGGTGTTGGATTCAGGAGCTTCGTTTCATGCTACCTCAAATAGAGATTTATTTGAGAACTATGTTTAAGGAAACTTAAGAAAAGTCTATTTGTTGGCCTCTTTGTTTTTGATGATGTTTAACAAACTATTTACCACTAATGTTGTTTGTCTATTGTTTGTGTTTCATGTTTATTCTAGGCAAATAATATGTTGGAGGATGGATGGAATCGCGCATTCACGATTATATCCAAGAAAGGTTGGCGGAATTATGGTATGAAGCCTACGTAATTCAAGTTCAAAATCTAAGTTCAAACTTCATCCGCAAGTGTACCATGTCAAGCTTATTGAAGATTAAGATTGCTTAGGTAACATTTAGTTTAGGTGTTATATTATGTGTGTTGGTACTTTAAGCTCAATATAATATGCACACACATTTTATTGGTTTCTTTGTATATATATATAGTTATATATATACATAAGTTAAGTTTTCGTTTCTATGTATATTTAGTTATATATATACATACATGGTTTTGAGTTTTCAAGTTTTAATATGAAACAATTGAATATAATTAGAAAACATATTTTTGTTTCATACTTACATGCATATATATGATTTCATCAAGCTCAATTTTATTTAGTTCAATGAAATCATGTTTTAGTGCATTATATGTGTATTTTGATAAAATACTATATTCATTATTTATAGACTTCATAACAATAGTTTACATCTTTCTTCAAGTCTATAAAATCATATTGTATTGTTTTAAAATATGGTTAAGCTAAAATGTCAAAACTCATATGTTCACATTTTTATGTTTTGGACTATTTTGCAAAATGATGATATGTTTTATTTCAAAGGTCCTTTTTGAGAATCAGTTTTTATAGCATGTGTACTATCATGTCTACAATCATTTCTCAAAGTTTTATATTTTTTGGAATTTATTTGATATTTTTAAACAGGGTTTTAAAATTAGAAAATAACTTTCAAACCTGTCATTTTGCATGTATCTGTTTGCGGTCGACCATCACGGTTGACCGCCCTTGAGTCCAGAGACTCCAGATATTTTCTTGAGGCTCACGGTCGACCGTGACGATCGACCGGATACAGTCTAGAGAGTTTCGTGATCGACCGTCACGGTCAACCGTCTGTTTTTCCAGAGCCCAGTTTTATCTTTTAGTTGCTCCCGGTCGACCGCGAGTTTTTCACGGTCGATCGTTGAACTGTCAATCAGGTTCCAACGGCTCTTTTCATGAGCTGTTTTCCTTGGGCTTTTTGGTCTTTTCTGTTGGGTTTTTGGCTGAGGTTTTGGGAGGCTATAAATACCCCCTTGCTCTCTCTTTTCTGTTGGGTTTTTGGCTGAGGTTTTGGGAGGCTATAAATACCCCCTTGCTCTCATCTTTCATCTATCTAAAAGAATGTTTTAAAATAGTTTAACAAGGGTTTAAGCTTGTTTTGTGTTTGTTTAAAAGAGTATTTAAGAGTTTGTTTGTGAAGAGAATTTCACAAGAGTTTGAGGAGATCATCAATCTTGTTTGGGCTTCAATCTACATCCCTCCACTCTTATTTTAGAGAAGTTTTCTTAAACTCTTTATCTAGCTTATTTATGCTTAACATATTATATTTATTTTGCTAGATTAAATTGAGTTTAGACTTGTTTTGATTTATCTCTTTGTTCACACACAACCTATTGAGCTTATTGTATTTACATTCATGGTATAATTTGGGATTGTGGGTTTGTGACTAAGAGTTGTGCTTAATTAAGTTCTCACCTTGTTTAGAGAATAATCATTTGATTTGTGGGCTTTAATTGTGAGGATTCACTTTGTAATACACTAGTACACTGTAGGCGTCTAAAAATACCTATAGGTATCCACACACAGCTCGAGACAGAGAGAAGACGACGGACATTGTTATCCGAGTCTAAGAGGATTATCTGACGCCGACAAGCGCCTGAAGCAAAACGGCGAATCAAGTGACCTGCGCGCTTGACAGTCAGCTCGCGCGCGCCAATCAGCTCGCATGCGTCAATCAACACGCACGCGTCAATCAACTCAAAGCATATAAATCAACGAAGCGAACCAAACACGTGACAAGAACAAATCCCGGAAGAAAGAAACCAAAAAAGGGAGAAAGTCGGCGAACCCGCGCTAAGCGCAGGACGGAATGATCCGACCCGCGCGAGCGCGGGTCGGATCAATCCGACCCGCGCGAGCGCGGGTCGGATTGTCCTGTTGCGCAGTCTAAAGTTCCAAAACACGTTTTGACAGTTTTAAATTGGTTTTTTGCAGGGTTTATCGGTTTCAGGGGTTCTTAACTGACTTGAGATCATCCCTAAACGTTGTTAGGCTGCTGTTGACTGAAGATAGAGCCAAATCCCTTGTTCTTATCCAAATAACCGCATTTTGAGGCCTATAAATATGAACCAAAGGCCTCCATTTTCTGGATCTGGAATTTTATCAAGAGGACGAGGTGCTGCTGGATTGGAGAGTGAAGGAGCACGAAATTTCAGCAAAGGACAGCGAGATCCCGGTGAACTTCGGAGCAAAGGAGAAGCCGTTCGAAGGATCTGAAGCTCGTACGTCCGTTCCTTGAGATTAGGCTTTGTCTTAATCTCGAGAAGAGCCCTGAAATCGCTTTGTCGATTCCAGGACTTCAAGCAAATACCCCCTTGGTGAGGTAGAAGCTCTGCCCAATTTTCTGCAACCGGATCTGATTCGAGGTCGTCCACGGATTAACCCCGGCACCGGCGAAGAACCCACGCAAGCAAGAGCCGATAAACGGATCTTGCGTTTATTTTCAAGAAAGTTGTAATCTTTTGTTCTTTTGTTATTTGAATTCATTTGTAACGCTTAAAGTTTAATGAAATCAATGACTAAGGTGACTTTCGACGAAAACACCATAGAGTAATGCTTAGTATTGATATTAAAAAAGTATTTGACACTATTAGCTGGAAATTTTTGAGAGATCTGCTTATTGGCCTGGGCTTCCCAAATAAGGTGGTGGGTTGGATTATGACATGTATATCTTCCCCTTCTTATTCCATTTCTTTAAATGGACCACTCTATGAATTCTTCAAAGGTAAAAGGGGTTTGAGACAGGGAGACCCTCTATCCCCATATCTCTTTATCTTGGGTATGGATTATCTCTCGAGATGCTTGGATTTATTGAAGAATGACAATCAATTCAAATTCCATCCTAAATGTAAA